TTGGAGTGTGTGTGAATGGTTCGTGGTGGTGGGAGAGGCCGATGGCACAGACTGGTTGCCTTGCTTCTGGTTTTACTGCTGAGAGGGCTCCCTCTGAGCAGTAAAACCTGATTGTCTGTTTTGATGGAGGTGAAAGAAGGCGGGAAGCTTTCTATTCAGCTCTCACACCGATCTGAGCTCTGGAAAGACCAATTATGAGCTCTCTATCTCTGCATGGTTACAGCTGAGCAAACATTGATCGCCACACTCTTATCTTGTTTTAGTGATGCTCAGGAGACCATCGTGATACTCCTCTCTCCACTCTCTCTGTTCCTGAGTCGCAGCGCAGGGACTGAGGCTTAAAACTATCACATAAACAACATCCTCCAACGTCTCTCTTCCCTATGACCCGCTCATATCAGCTCTTAGAACACAGAGGTTTACACGGGAGGATCACACAAGGCTTTAAAATCATGAACAATAACAGCACCTTAAAGACCGTGAAGATACTAGATACTTCCTGGAGAAAAATCTTCAAGTCTGCTTTATTAAACACTACGTTTGTGATCCTGGCAATGTTTTGGTAAAAAGTGGTAAAAAGCTGCTGATGTTACTGATTTGATGTGGCTATTATTTTAAGAAATTTAAGTCTGAGTCCAGTATTACCCTTAGATTTCAGACTTGAATTGAAGGTTTTAGGTAGAGGGACTGGAGGTGACAGACGACGTTCTCTCTTTGTTTCTGGGGGCCAAAGCCAATCGTTTTGTCTGTGTTTAGCTGGAAGAAGTTATTTTGCATCCACTCACTGATCTGTTGGATTTAGTGAAGGAGTGGTCTATGTTCTCCTGTAGTCAGTGAGACAGTGTCACATACGTAGTTGTGATAGGACACATTGTTACTGCGTATTAACTGACCTAACGGGAGCATGTAGAGATCGAACAGAAGAGGTCCCAGGATCAACCCCAGTGGTAGAACTCCCAGTGCCGTCATTTTGATTGCTCTCACTCAAACCAATGTAAGTCGAAGAAACTGCTTTCAAGACTTTTTTTTCTTTTAAATTTGACTGCTCCTGGAGTTGTTGTGTGTGTGTGTAGCTGCTCTCACCTACTCCCATTCCAAAATTCTTATTCGAAATGCAGAGAGGGATGGAGATGAAGCATATTGGATTTGAATGTTTATTAGAGATCGACCAAAATGAGTATCTGTTGCCACTGCCACATTCTTCACAGTTTGACAGCTTGACTGGTCTATGGCTTTATTTTTCTTTATCTACAGGATAAAAAAATGTATAGCCAAATCAAATCCAAATAGTTGAAATTCAATCTCCATCTGAAAATAGTAAAACCGGCATTTTACCACCTGCATCCCTCCTCTGTGTGTCATCTAATTAAAGACTTGAGGAGCTCAGAGAGAGGTGGATGCTGGAGCTGCCTCCAGTTGTTTCCTTATTCTCACCCCTGCAGAACTATGACCGCAACGGCAACCATGACATTCATGTATTTAAAAGTACAATGTAAGGACACTACTGGAAGAAATGACTCAATAACAGCAGTTTGTGTTATGTAAATGTGTTATGTGTTAAGTAGAACAACTGATTTAAATGTAATGTCGGTCACAATTTTTTAACAGACCTCTGAAATCAATAATGACCGCTGCCACTGTCAATGCAATTTGTGCTTCTAATTCACATGTGTAAGATCACTCCGCAAGTAGTTCGGCCACTTTGGAGGGAGAGGTTCTGCAGGTCTTTCCTTCCTGCTACTCTAAGACTGTGCAACAAGCAATGAATCCTGGTGATCTGACCTCACATGTTGTGCATCTTTTCAATAATCTTGAAATGTCCAAATTTGCAATATATTATTATTATTGTTATTATTATTATTAGGCTACAGTTAGACATTTTATTTTATTTTAGTATAGAGTTTTTTGGTGGTGTGTGCTCCTCATTCCTACTTTTCTTTAACTGGTGATGCAACAATGACAATTCCCTAATTGTACTAAGAGATCTATACATAACATACAGAATAGGGCTTTACATCAACATATGCTGCAGTGAATTATATGTGATACATCTTTATACCCAGGTTATGGCTTTAGTATTGTATATAGTGGATGAAGCCACCAAAGCCTCTATCCCAGGCTTCTACATGTGGCAGTTTTATTACAGCAATATCCAAAGATATACTGTTCTTGTTGCGCCTTTGCCATCATGAAATACATAAAGTAGCTTTTGTGGGGCTCATGTAAATCTATGAGGAACATTTCAAATAAAAAGTTCAGTCGAGCCATTCTCACCTGATGACCACGAGACATGCTTTCAGTATATTCCACTTGGGAGAGTATTATGGCCTATTTAATATTGAATAAAGCTTGCAGTGTTTGATTCTATGATCAGTACTAGTGACTCAACAGCTTTATAAAGTCCTCCAAGATACAAACATGAATTTATATGAATTGTTTAGGCAGATATGGCAAACACAACACCAAAAAAATAAAAGATTACATAAACATAACACTATTTTAACATACAGGGGCGACAGTAGCTCAGTTGGTAGAGCATTGGCCTTCAGGCCTGAAGGTCGTGGGTTCAATTCCCACCTCTACACCTTCTCCACCGACTCCCACTGATGACTGCTGTCGTTGTGTCCTTGGGCAAGACACTTAACCCCACTTTGCCCAAAAGCCCCCACTGAAAGATCAAGGCTATGCTCACACTCAGAGAGCAGCCGTCCTCCTGTGGACTCACCCCCTGCAGAGGGTCAGTGAGGGGCTGGTGCTATGAGACTTGGGTGGCATCTCTGATTGCCACCCCCCTGACCCAGAAATGGATTAAAGGGTAGAAAATGGATGGATGGATATTTTAACATAAACACTTGAAATATCGAAGTAATCTAATACAAAAATTAATCTATGTTACTATATTTCAATCTCAAATGTTTTTGTTGAAAAAACAAAACAAGAAATGTACTCCAGCGGTAATAATGGTTTCACAATACTAGAAGGAAACCATGAAAGTTCTACTCAATTCTCTTAATTTCTTTATAATCCTAAATCACAACAGTAGTTTTCAGGGAGGACTTCACAAAGCTGTCGATTCACCAACACAGATCAGAGAATCAAACACAGAAAATGCAATGATTAAAAGCACATACCTCAGTGTGGTACTGTAAATATGTAAATATACAGTAAAAATATGTGATATTGCAAACATTTACAATTATTTGTAAATAATAAGACACCCAGGTCTACATCTCCACCAAATCCATCTCCCCAGTCATCCTCTCCAGCAGCATACACTGGGTCAACGACATCAAATTCTGGATGGACCACAATTTTCTAAAACTTTACAGCAATAAAAACAGAACTTCTCATCACCGGACCCAAGTCACTCTTTGCTTCTGCTCAAAACATCTTCCTCAACATTGACGACCACACAGTCACTCCCTCTCACTCTGTGCGCAACCTCAGAAATAATATGGCCTCCATCCTGTCATTTAAACCCCACCCCCACATCAACCTCATTGTGATCCCGCAACATTGCTTGCCTCCTCCCCTCCCTCTTCCCTCTTCCCTCTTCTACCCACACAATCCACTGCTGAAATACTCGTTCATCACCTCCAGACTCAACTACTGCAAAGGCCTCCTCTACCTCACTGACCTCCTCCATCATCACGGTCCCACCCGGCGTCTCAAATCCACAGAGTCCAACCTCCTCACTCCTCTCAGGACTAGACACCAAACCTTGGGGGGCCGTGCCTTCGCCGCAGTTGCCCCCACTCTCTGCAACTCACTCCCACAACCATCACAAACTCTGACTCACTACAAAACTTCAAATCACTTCTCAAAACCCACCTGTTTCGCCTTCCCGGTCCTTAATTTTGCTCTTCTTTGCTCAATGTATATGTTTTGTAAAGCGCTATACAAGTTTGATGTATTATTATTAATATTGTTATTACTGTTTTATTCTTTATTGGTGTGAATCTTATACAGATACCACTCTAATTAATATTGATATGAGGATTGATAATTCCAAACAAAGATTCAATAATAATAATAATAATAAAAATAACAAAAACCACCCAAGCATGTATAGGTTGTCACCGTTTTAACGAGGATAACATGCAACGACAGAAGGGGGTAAGTACAGTCACTGATGGAGACGTCAATGCCATTAAATGCTGACCTTTTCTTCAGAAACTGTTTAATGTGACGGTAACATATGTGAGTAATATGAGATCAATCAATAGAGCAATTGAAGAGGTTCATTAGTGTCCGAGGGCTGCTCACCACACGATGTCACGACACTAATTGCAAAGCATCATTGATCGTGGAGAGAAACCTTGTAAGTGTCTTTTTTCGACAAGAGCGACAAATTCCAAACCGTACAAGTGTGTTCTAATTATTCACCTCTGTAGATAACATCTGTGCAGTAAACATTCTGGAATATTCTATGAAGCGAATCATTCATTAATTTGTGAGTATGAGATTGAAACATATTGATTATCATTTCATTTTTTGATTATGTTTACTTGTTTTGTAGATTTTTCACAAGCTGTCTCAACAACAACAACTACAAAACAAAGTATGCTTGCGGGCTGCTTACACACCATAGACTGCAACTACACATCCACGTGTGGGTCTTATTTTTAGCTGATGAGCGCTGGCTGCGAGTTACTGACAATTTACACGGTAGGCATTCACATCACGTAAGCGTGGACTGTACGGGCCGGAGAACTGACGTGGAGCAACAAAAATCACATGTATGTTTTGTCCTCTTGGTCTCTGTGGTGCAGCTTTGCGTCAACACATCCGTCATATGCACGTATAACACCAGTAGTGTAAATATCACCATACTGAAAAAAATGGTACGCGCTTTTGCTGCACATACTAAATTGATTACATGCTGTAACTCCTCCTGTGTAAATTAGCAGTTAGTGTGCGTCATGCTCCAGGCTTCTACCACGGGGCACAGCCGCTGCACAAGCCACAACTGTCCAGAGGCCTGTTTATCAGACGTGTACCTGTGCACTTCCTGCTGGTGTCCTCCTTCTTGGACGAGCTCATCAGTTTGCAGTTGAAGTTTTCCTCCCAGTATTCTGCAAACCACACATTCCGTCTGTTATTCTCCAAGGTCCTGGAGGTGAAGTAGGCATCGAAACCTGAAAGACAGCCACCAGAAAGTGAATTTAACAAAACAAAATGTGCATCAACCTGTTCACGTACCACCTCCGCAACATTTCGCCCCTCCCTCTCACAATCCACTCCTGAAATACTCGTTCACCTCCAGACTCCACTACTGCTACAGCCTCTTCCACTGTCTCACATCCCTCAAACAAACCCATCAGCTGGCCCGCCCTCCAACACCTACACACCTGGATGCAATTAGGCAGCCATTTTAAGCCCAGGAAGCCCTTTTTTCCCCTTTTATTTCCTGTGGCTGCCGGATTTGTCCCGGAAGTTCAGTTTGCGCATGTCAAAAAGTGTGAATAAACATGTAAACAGTTTGTCTTGTTATATACAGATTATATTCTTGATTTGTGCACGTATGTATCAAGGTTTATTACGAGAAATGGCGGAAAAAGAGCTCTGAGAAAAAAGGACTTTTAGTAGCCACGAAGCTAGCGCCCAGATGCGTTCATACACGGAAATGAGGCTAGCACAGACAGTTTAATTCTTGGTTAGATTCATTGTCCATTACTTGTTTAAATATCATACACCTTTTATGTGGATCCCTGTGTTTATGTATTAGTTAAGCAAGACAGTGAATCTAATCAAGAATTAAACTGTCTGTGCTAGCCTCATTTCCGTGTGCCTTTGAACGCATCTGGGCGCTAGCTTTGTGGCTACTAAAACAATTTTTTTTCTCAGAGCTCTTTTTCTGCCATTTCTCATAATAAACCTTGATACATATGTGCACAAATCAAGAATATAATCTGTATATAACAAGACAAACTGTTTACATGTTTATTTACACTTTTTGACATGAGCAAACTGAACTTCCGGGACAAATCCGGCAGCCATATTGTTAATATGCAATTGGTTTTCTGCTTTGTTGCAGTGTTCAAACCATGTCCGATGCCGAATAAGACCTTTAAACTGTCTCGAGATATTTTTTATGCACTTGGGCTTTTTTACCAGCATTTCTGATTAAATGTTTCCCTTCCAAAAACTAATAGATTCAGAAATCTGCCACCCGCCTGCTCACCCACACCCGCTCCAGAGACCACATCACCCCCGTTCTCAAACAACTCCACTGGCTCCTTGTATTGGGTGTTTCCTACCACATCCGATACATATTCTTCTCACCTACAAGTCCCTCCGTAACCTCGCCCCTTTATACTGTACCTCAAAGACCTCCTCCTTAATCACTGTCCCCCTCTCTGGAACTCGCTCCCATAACCATTAGAAACTCTGCCTCACTACATACATTTAAATCACTTCTCAAACTCCACCTCTTTCAGCCTTTCGTTAAAAGTGCTCCTTTTGATTTTATGTGTTTTGGGATATCTATATCTATATATGTATTATTATTATTGCTATATATGCTATATATGTATTATTATGAGAACGCTGGATCCATGGATGTCTAATTCTCTTAAAAGTAAATATAAACAATGAATGTTGCCAGTGAAAGCTTTGCTATGAATCACAGGCTCAGCTTATGCCAAAGCAACAATAAAGCCTTCGTATGCTAATAACATCCACGGCTCAAAATGAGAAATACAGAAATGTAAACATACAGCCTCCAAGACGTGAGTCACAGCAGCTGGTGAAATCTGGGGGGATGACAATAAGCTTCAGATGGAGGTGTAAGTACAGAAGTCAATTATAGGATTTATACAGGACTGTGAGGAGATGGCAGATTAAACTACTGTTTTAAATTAGCTCTCTAAATTAGTAATGTTATGATACTTTAGTACAAACTCAATTAAGACAATGGGGGAATAAAAAGATACAAATTTTGATACTGCAGCAATTATTTATACACGCTCTTGAAATAGATTGAAACTCAAAATAAACATTACTTTGTCTTCTGATATAGTTTGAAATGTATCAAGAAATGCCTAATAGATGTCAAATGTTTTCCCGTTTATGTAACTAGTTTTAGTTCTCCATACTAACTACGTTTTGATACTTTTGACAACCCTTGTCTCAACATTGTCTTGATATTTTTGGTAAAGTTAGTCACAGTGGCCCTCATTTATGAAACTTGCGCAGAAAAGGGGTGTATATTTTTGGTGTAGATTCCATATACGCAAGCCCCAACGCTGGATTTATGAACCCAGATCTGAGCGTACGCATACACGGCTGTTAGTAAATGCCGCGGTGAAACTAGCGTATTAATGAAAGTCACACCTATAAATATTCAGAAACCGCCTGTTCACACCCTGTACGACAGGTCAGCATGGAACTTGGCCAGGAAGACTGTTTGGAAGCCTCATAATATATATATACACGTTTTTTTCCCTAGTGTATAGACCCACTGCAGCACTCATCTCTCTTGAACTTTAGAAGTGAGTGAATGAATGAATGAATGAATATTATTATCTCCGGCTCAGCGGTGGCTCTCATCATTAACCGCTTGAAGCGTCTGAGTGATCTCTGTGAGAGAGAAAGTATGCATATGTAAAGCTTTTGGAAAGTGTCTGTGATTTTACAGAGAATCTCTGGATCAAAATGTCTGAATGGCGCGCAGCACATGTGAGCAGTGATGCGGTGGGATCTCTCCTGGCACCTGCTGCGAACTGCCCCAGAGCCAGAGCCAAGTGCGTTGCATCCTATCTATAAACTGCTACATGTGGAATACAGGGCAGTGGCTGAGAAAGTTTTGAGCAAGACCATCGGTGCATTTATGGGGCTTTATGCAGAAAACTAAGGAAAAAACACATTGCTTTTCCAGAGGTGAATGAGGAAAAACAAAAGCGTAATTACGCAGCGCAGGGTCTGCCACAGATTTACGGAGTTAGTGAGTACGTCAAGTGTATTTGTATAGTGCCTTTCACAGACCAGGATCAAAAAGCACTTCACATTTAAAAAAAATACATATGAAAATAATATGCACAAGTCAGATTTAAAAACGAAAAAACAGAAGAGGGTCCTCATCATGAACGTAACATGAACTGTGATTTATTCTAAGTTTGCGTGTTTCCATTAGATATTTTCTGATGCGCAAATTAAAATTTCGAAATGTGATGCTCAAAGAAAACACAGCTTATAATTTTGCCAGGGTGGGAATATGTTTATTGTTGTCCAAATCTTGAATTTCATGCGTATTTTGGCGTGTTGTAATGAAGGTTGAGATGAGGGTACACATTTACACCACCTCCAGACTTGGCGTATTTTTTGTGCGTACCGTACGCCCACGTCCAGATTGATAAATGCCGGAAAAAAAAATTGCATAAAGAAGCTATACCCGATTTTTTTTCTAAGTAGTTCATAAAAATGCTTTTTACTACATACAAGTTGTATCATAATTAGGGCTGTCCAAAATAGCGCGTTATTAACGCGTTAACGCAAATCAATATTAACGCCGTCATTTTTTTTATCGCGCAATAAAAAAAAAAAAAAGAAGTACCACTGTAAGTACTTTTTTTTTACTTTTTATTGCAGACAAACACATATACAGAAAAAAAAAATAGAAACAAAGAAAAGGACTAGTTCAGATACATTGTAGACAGAGATTACAAACAATATGTAGTTGGAGATACAGGGGGCCAAAGAAGAAACCCAGAAGGGCACATAGGAGGGGAGGGGGGGGGGGGGGGGGGGACATGAAGTGGGAGATGGGGGGAGGGGTTAATAAAAAAGGCAATACAAGCAAACAGTATACAGTCATAGATATACCGAAGGTAAACAGAGAAACAGCATAGAGTATTTACATGAACAAATTTACAAAATATTTAAAGATTGTTTATCATCATCATAATGACACCATGATGTTTCTATACAGTCTATGGTCTATACCCACACATACACACACACACCCACACACACACATTGAAGGGGCTTTTTGTTACCAATTATTTATTTTGTCATCCATTTATTGATGATTTTGCATCAAATGTTAGTGTGTAATATAACACTACACATTGTTTTCAATAAAAAAAGCAATTGCACACAGCACGCAAATGTGTGACTAATTTGCGATTAATCGCGAGTTAACTATGAAATTCGTGCGATTAATCGCGATTAAATATTTTAATAGTTGGACAGCACTAATCATAATACATAATTTAATTGAAAACTTGAGGACATTGATTCAGCTGTGTAAGAATTACAAGCAGTGAAAAGTGCTGAGTGGAGTCTTAGCGGGACGTTCGTTCTCCTCCACTCACAGAACAAGCAGCGAACAGCCTGCGTCCTCTAGCCTCTACAGCGCTGCTTAACACCAGGGCTTCGACTTCAAAATTCGAATATAATTCTAAAATAAAAAATATATACATATTTGAACAAATATTAGACAACCCTTATAATTCTAAATGTATTTAATGACTGCAAATAAAATAGCTCCCAAATGCTTCACCGGGACGTGCTAGGCAGGTAACAGCTAAGCTAGCTAGTTGTTCCATGGTAACTTCTGGGTTTTTTGCAATCGCTTTTTGTCACATTAAAACAGTATTTTTGTCATGAAAACGTTAACAGCAAATTCTGAAATCGTCCGTGCATGTGTGTTAAGGATGTATATGTATACTGTATTGTCCGATTGACGTTTAATGGTGTTGATTAATAGATATGTAGTTGTTTATTGAGCGTGGCTAGCTCCGCTAGCTCCGTTGGCTTCTCTACACAGACAAGTGTGTAGTGACAGGTGCTGATAGCTTGTTGTACTTGCAGAGTAATGGCAGTATTTTACACACCTGAATTACAAACAGAGATTGCATTGGGGCTGCGGTCATTATTGGTTTGAGAGTTCTGTTATCAAGAAAAAATGATCGGAAGAATTGCACTCAAGTCAATGGAGTTCTGCTGCTTTGAGGAGCTCTATAACAAATTATAATTAAATATTAGAATATATTCTAATATTTTAAATTAATACATTCGGACACGAAACTAGCGGTATTCTTTTACCTATATATTGTGTTAGCAGTGCGTTGCTTTAGTGCCATTTCATCAGTGATTGTTGTACAGCTTACAAGAAATTGTGCTAATGTTAGCATAT